CCTCTGCTGTTGCACTTGTGTCACGGGCACCAAATTTGGGTAATTTGAATGTTGGCATCTTAAACTTTGATGGTGATCCTTTTTTGTCTTTTGTCTCAACTTTGAACTCAGGAGCTTCAGTTTCCACTTCCATATGAGGGAGTGTGACTTTAGCTTTAGCTTCTGGAAGTGTAACATCAACATCTTTCTTTGATAAGCTTAAATCAGTGTCAGGCCCTTTTCTTTTTGGGACAGACAATCCAAGACTTGGCAGTTTGAACTTACTTCCTTTTCCATCATATTCAGATTCACTGGTTTCCAAGGAGATTGGAAGTTCTTTCAATTCAGTGCTGGGTGCTGCAATGTTAACTTCAAGAACCTCTTCAGGAATCTCAATATCAGCACCTTCTATTTTGATACCTTTCTCCATATCCGGTACCTCTGCTGTTGCACTTGTGATACCAATGCCAAATTTGGGTAATTGGAATGGAGGCATCTTAAACTTTGATGGTGATCCTTTCTTGTCTTTTGTCTCAACTTTGAACTCAGGAGCTTCAATTTCAGTTTCAACAGAAGGTTTCTCTACTTCAACATCATGGAGCTTGACTTCAGCTGTAGCTTCTGGAAGTGTAATATGTACGTCTTGCTTTGATGAGGTTAAATCAATGTCAGGCGCTTTGTCTTGATGGACAGAAAATCCAAGACTTGGCAATTTGAACTTACTTCCTTTTCCTTCATGTTCAGATCCACTGGTTTTCAAGGAGATTGAAGGCTCTTTCAATTCAGTGCTGGGTGCTGCTATGTTAACTTCAAGAACCTCTTCGGGGATACTAATATCAGCACCATCTATTTTGATACATTTGTCCATATCCGGTACTTTTGCTGTTGCACTTGTGATACCAATGCCAAGTTTTGGTAAGTGGAATGTTGGCATCTTAACCTTTGATAGTGATTCTTTTTTTTCCTTAGTCTCAATTTTCATTTCAACCTCAGCAGAAATTTTTTCAACTTCAACATCAGGGAGTTTGACTTCAGCTTCTGGAAGAGTAATATCTATGCTTTTCTTTGAAGAATTTAAATCAAAGTCCGGTCCTTTTGTTTGAGGGACAGAAAATCCAAGACTTGGCAATTTGAACTTACTTCCTTTGCCTTCATGTTCTTTTAATTCAATGCTGGGTGCTGCTATGTTCACTTCAAGAACCTGTTCAGGGATACTAATATCAGCACCTTCTATTTTGATACCTGTGTCCAAATCAGGTATTTCTGTTGTGGCACTTGGGATACCAACTCCAAATTTTGGTAGTTTGAATGTGGGCATCTTAAATTTTGAAAGTGAGTTCTCATTGTCCTTTGTCAGATCTTCAATATCAGGATCTTCGGTTTCCATTTGAGCAGAGGGTTTTTTACGTTCAGCATCAGTTTTGGCTTCTTCAAGTGTTTCATCTACATCTCTCTTCAATAAGTTAAAATCAACTGCTGGTCCTTTTACTTTTGGCATTGTTATTCCAAATTTTGGCAATTTGAACTTGCTTTCATGTACTTCGGTTTCATCTCCAGTCTTTTCCTGGGGAAAGAAAGCTTCTGCACTCCCAAGACTTACATCGATTTTAGTTTTAATTCCAGTCTGTGGTTTGACATCAACTGTTTTCACATCAATAGATGATCCCACAATATCAGTATTTGGTGTTGGAATGTTAACATTGACACCTTCAGTTGATTTCAGCTGTGTTTCACAAATTTCAATGTCTTTTAATTTATCATGTACTTCATGACTGGTGTTGGCCACAGGAGATCCAAATTTAGGTAGCTTGAACGTTGGCATCTTAAATTTTGATGGTGATTCGTCTACATACTTTTCTACAACTTTCATTTCAGGAGCTCTAATTTCGGCATCAGAGGGTTTCACCTTCCGTTTTGTTTCTGACAGTTTCATATCTTCATTTTTCTCTGATGCACTGAAGTCAAATTCAGACCCTTTTATTTTCGGCATTGCAATTCCTAACTTTGGCATCTTGAACTTGCCTCCTTGCCTATCAAAATCACCTTCTGCCCGAGGATGTTTTATTTCCTGGTCATATTTTTCTGCCTCCATTATTCGTTCTGCAATACAAACATCTACACTTCCAAGTGTAACGTCGGTCTCAGGCGGTGGTGTCACAGCTACACTTTTCTTTGATAGACTTGAATCCGTTTTTATTCCTTTCGCCCTTGGCATGGAGATACCAACATTTGGCACTTTAAACTTGCTACCCTTTCCCTCTCTTTCAAGAGTTTTTGTCTCAGCTTCATCAGTGTTTATAGGCTTATCTCCATCGGGCACATTTACACTGATGTATGTAGTAATAGCTCCAAATTGAGGCAATTTAACTGCATGCTCTTCAGTTTCTGCACTTTTTGCCAGGGAAATATCCACGTTTGTTTTTGACTCAAGATTTACATCAAAACCTGTAAGCCTAATGCCATTGTCCTTTTTGGCTGGTGAACCATCTACTGAGTCAATGTATTCAATGCTATCGAGTTCAGGAATCACAACCTCACATACAACTCCTTCACTCTGCCCCTTTTCTTTTTTAATTTCATCTTTTGATGTCGTTACTTCTCGGAGGAATTCAGCTTTTTCTCCTTTTGTTGTGTCCCCTTTTTGCTGAAAGATATTTTGTTTTGGCAAGACAATTCCAATATTAGGGATTCTTATGTCTGGCTTTGCTATCCCAAAGCTAGGCACTGTCATCTTTGCCTTCTTTGATTTCTTATCTGATTCATATTCAGAGTTGATACCCTCTGTTCCTCGTGTTTCATCAGCCACATGTGCCTGAAGACTAGATACTTTCTCTAAACTTTCCTTTCCTGGTATTATAATATCTTCTCTTTTATAGGTCCCAGTTTTAATCTCTTTGCTGCTTTGTTTTTTCTTAGTTTCATGTTCCTTATCAGTTTTTACTGTTGTTTCAGTTAAAAGATCCTCTGAGGTTAATTGCCCGGTTGTGATCTGTGACAGCTTAACTGTAGTCTTGGAAATTTCTAGAGAAGAAGTTGTGTCAAACTTTGTAAGACTTGCTCCATGCTTTGTTTTGGTGTCTACCACTTTTGTAGGCGTTTTCACTGATATTCTTTGAGCATTTGCATCTATCACAGTAATTTCTTCTGGAATAGGCATGCCAGATGTATCAACTTTAGGCAGCTTATATCCAGGCAATTTAGAAACTGCCTCTTTCACACTGTCAACATCAATTGACAGTTGCACAGTTTCCGCTTGAAATTCTCCATTCTGTCCTGTATAATTTACCTTAGGTTCTTTAATTCTTTTTGCTCTCGTCTTCACAGACTTATCCTCCATACCTGGTATCTCAATCTCTTCCCGTTTGGGAAGTTGGGTTCTGAAATCACTGCTTTTTGCCAGTCTCTTATAAGGATCATCTGTGATTTCCTCAGCACCAACGTCACCCAAACTGAGTTTCGTCAGTTTGACAGTTTCCCCTGTTCTTCTGTCTTCGTGTTTTTCTTGGATTTCTTTGCCTTTCTGCCTTTTTGCTTCACTTTTCTGTGGATATTTTTGTGAAACTGCAACATCAGATAAATCATGTTCCACCTTAGCATAAAGAGCAGGATCTTCTGTGTGTGACTCAAAGTTTGGGATTAAGTCAGATTTTTCATTTTCAGGATGATCAGCTAAGTCAAAACTTGCCCCTAGTGTTTTTAGCCTTTTTGGTGACGATTTTGCTTTTGCTTCTTTCTTGTGTGATTTATCCTTCCCCAGAATTTTCATTTTTAATTCAGACCTTTCTTTCTTCTTTTTTTTCCCCTCAGGGGACTTGATATGAGAGGGGCTTTCTTGATCTGCTAGAGCCACAGTTAAATCTGCTGTTTTCAAAGTGCTATCTATACTGATAAGTTCCACCTTATGTTGAATAGGTTGAGCTTCACGAACCGTTAGATTGGTTTCTTCAAGTTGCACATCTTTCATTACTTTCAGATCTTTTTTCACATAGGCTTCAGGCATTTCTCCTGAGGGGCTTTCAAGGCACTCAGGTGAAAGCATATCAGATTCTTGTGTGTGGTGAGTGTCACCACTGATCTGTCCAGTTTGCACATCTGTGTCCTGCTCCTCAGATGAACTTATCCGGCCTCTCTTTGTCAGACCAGGTAGTTTTATTTTATGCTTTTTCTTGTATTTGAGAGCATCCTGAGTTTTTATTGGTGACTCTGTGTCGCTTGTTGTTGGGCTGAGTTCAAGCTTTCTTTGTTCCTCAGCCTCTGAGGAACTGTGAGACCTTGTAAAACGTGATTTTCGCCCTTTTCCAAAGGATGAAAACTTGGGCCACGAAATGCGAGCTTCTCCGCGTCTTTTCGTTTTTCCTTGTTCTCTCATCTGTGGAGTGTGGAGGTCTTCTTCCTGTTAAGAAGCATAAAAATTAAAGGTAAGTCGTTACTAACAAATAAAAATAACTAACAAAGAGTTTGAGCAGACAACTTTGAGAATAGTTACAGGTATAACGTCAGATTCGATGGCTGGTTCGGTCTCTGTGATCTCTGGCTTGCGCTTCAAGCAAAGCTTCAGTTTATATGCCTGAGCATGCTCCAGAATCTGAATGGCATCCTCATATGACATGTTGTCAAAATACACAGTGGCACTCAAAATCTGATCACCTGTGTAGACAAGACAAAATATTTCAAAAGGACTTTGATGAGCAGACTTTTAAGTCCCATTTGTAGTTGATAAAAATTGAAGTGTTCAATAAAAAATCAAATAAAGAATAACATTAACATTTGCTTGTGTTCAACGTACCGTGCTAAAAAAATTATAGTAACACTTTGAAAACACATAAGATCTCAATGGGAGGAAAAAAATCATGCTGGATATCGACGCTGATAAGAACTGGGTAATGTGTTAGGAATGAGTGGCCTCATCATTTGATTGAAATAAAAATTATCAACTTACAGGGGGCTGAATTCAAAAAACAGACTAGTCCATTTTGCCAAAATTTCATTGCAGCAGCTCAAAATGACACCCAGTTGTAGTTGGGTGTCATTTTGTGCTTGAATTCATGCATGACAAATTCAGGCAATGCTTCCAGTGAGACAACAGATGGTGTCCTGGGGGATCTCCTTCCAAATCTGGACCAAGGCATTACCAGGTTCCTACAACGGGGTAGCATTGTATGGACCGAAACGTAACATCCCAGAGGTGTTCTGTTGGATTTAGGTCAGATGAGTGTAGGAACCAGTCAATGGTATCAATTCATTCATCCTCCAGGTACC